GACATGGTCCCCTTTGATATCATTCTTGGGAGTTGCGCTTTTGGAATGGATGTATGAATCCATGATAGCTTTCCCGATTATGATATCAAGATTGTTGAATGAGGACCATTTTGAGGAGTATCGGATTTAATGGCACATTTTCCGCGGATACGCTACCCTCTCACCTGGTGGTGCTTGGGGTGGTTGGTGGGGGGAGTTTGCCTTACACGCACACCAAATCGCAAGTTCTTTATAGGGTTATAGGGCTTAATTACATGGCACAGCTGGTTGGTAATACGATGCTTTTTACACCGTGTGCAAGTTCATGTGGCAACGGCCTTTGGTGAGCTCTTGCAACCAGCTCGAAGTTTGCGTGCAGTGGCAGCCCGAACAAGCCACCTTGTCGGTTACTAATTACCTGTATTTACGTCCGCAGCCAGGCTTGCTACAACACCAGTCGTGTCATCCCAACATTCTTGCCGATGCGCAGCAATGTGGGAGGCCAAGGATTGCCAGAATCACTGCTTGCATTTGTGTTGCCGGGCTTTTTGCATTCGCCTCCATGACACCTGGAGTCAAGTTGCTAAATTTAAGCAAGTACATGAACATGGCATTCAACCCGTACAGCCTGAACCTGCAAGTGCTGTTTTTGTTTCGTCGCGCGGTGGTCGTGACAGGGATGATTGCTGCATGGCTTTCCCATGTTTCCAACAGTCGTCACGTCCTGCTGAATCCTCGTGCACCTGAGGCATGGAGTCTGGTTGGTCTTGACGTGGGACGTTCTAGTTCAGGCCACCTGCCACGGAACAAGGGTAAAACTGTCCAGATGGGGCACAGGTAACGGTACGATTCTCTAGATCAGATACATACTTTTGCTCGGCCAACCTTTCAATCCAACCATACCAAAAAGTTTGATGCTTAAGCACAAGAGCATGTCGTAGACACAATTCGCAGGCCAATTACTGGTACGAGTTGCACCCCGGCACCGCACTTCCTGGCGGACGGTACGAACATGCTGCAGTGTGGAGCCCTGCAGCCGATGGCATCTACGTTTTTGGCGGATTCCTTGCGAGCCGGGGCCCTGTGCTGCTGAACGCAATGGATGCGTAGAAGAGTTCGCTGAGGCCATTCCACAAATGATTTCTGGTTCTACGGGCGTCAGGCCTGTGAGGTGTCGTGAATCTTCGAGGAGTATCCAAAGGTCTTTCAGCGGCTTCCAGTGAGCATGAAGCTTTGCAATGCTTTGGTTAAGATGAGGTTAGTATGTTTGCTGCGATCCCTGTCGTCGCCTGATCTGCTAGATTCTAGAGGTTGTCCAAGCCCTGATTATCGGGAGCTCGCGCTTTCGTCTTTTCACGGAGGCCAATATGTGGGAGGAGCTCAACCTCAGCGGTGCCCTACCGGACGTGCGGAGTCAGCACACTGCGGTGTGGAGCCATGAAGCTGACGGCATGTACGTTTTTGGTGGATACGATGGCCAGGGCCCCAAGAACGCATTTGGGTCATCAAGACCGGGAGGCTACAACGCAGTATGTGGAGTGCCCGCTGAGGTTCTGGAACATACTTCAATGACTTGTGGTTCCACGGGCGTCAGGCGTGTAAGGGTCATAGCAAGTCCGGTCAACTCCTCCACAGGCTGAACAAGTGCTGCAGCGTGCATGGTTCGCTTCGTGCCAGTGTCGCGAAGCTTCCTTCAAACTCCACAGCTTTCTCAGAGGTGCTCATTCAGCATAGCGCGTGAGGTTTAGGCAACGTTTTGAGTGGTTTTCAGTACTAGGGGGCTTGGGCCTGCAAATGCGCGTTTTCGCAATATTTTTTTTTATGTACGCGATTTGTGGATGGCTAAGGCTTGCGGAGGCGGCTGTTCTTCTTTGCATGACTCAGGTGTGAGGACTCGCGTGGAAGGGCTGTGAAAGTACCGCCCTAGAGATAAAACGAAAGCATGGACAGTGGAATCTGAAGCCTGGAGAGTGTCAGTGTAGCCCCTCCGGGGTGTGCCTCACCCTCAGTCATCCTGAAGATGTTCGAAGCAACACACCCAAACCCTAAACCTCCAAAGCCAGGCCGTGAAGCACAAAGCTTAGACCTCGGACCCTGATCCATCAATCCTAGAGAGCATCGTGTTTCTTGACCAGCATGGATGCTCGAGGAAAGCACATGCTCTTGCAATACGTACGTTATTCTATTGGCCAGCAGGAAGGCTCTCGAAAAACGCATGCTCTGGTAGTACAAGCGTTCTTATCTTGGCCAACATGGATGCTCCCAGAAACCGTATGCGGAACACGAGCGTCAACAGCAACATTTTGTCAAGCCAGGATGCTCCCGGAAATCCATGCGGGTATATGCTGGTAGCATGTACGTTAGGTTATATTACATTATTATTATATGCTCGCGGACACCGTATGCTCTGGCAACACACATGTTTTTCTATGGATGCATTAGCCAGCATGGATGCGCGCGGAAAAAATGAGCTCTCATATCGCGAACGCTATCATCGATGTGTTCGCCAGCGTGGATGCTGGCTTACTGGCGAAACAACCTATGCTCTGGTAACATGAACATTCTTTTCTTAGCCTGCGTGGATGCTTGGGGTACCGTATGCTCTGGTACCACGACAGCTCTTACCTTGGCCAGCATGCACTAGAGCTCGAGAGCGTAAAGTGCAGATTAAGGTCGTCCTGCATGAGCTTCCAGTCAACTCAGGCTCTTGCGTTGCCCAGATGTAGCAGCTACGGTGTGGCAGGGCCACCCGAGCCGAGATCGCACTGCCACACAAGCTCGCGAGACAATTGGGTTCATAAGGACTCTTCGTTAAGACTTGCAACTTGGAAGAAACATACGGACATTGGTGGAGATATGAATTTAAAAATCTGGCCCTGCAAAGACATTGGAAAGAGATGCAGCAGTGGCTGCCATTCTGCCGAGATGCAATAAGGATAGACCACTGGTTAGGTACAATTTCCCAAGCACATAGGGATTCTGCAGGGTTCTATGGGTAATTCTCAGAATGATGGACCCCTTGTAGTTACAGATTATACTGCAGCACCTAATATTTAGGGGTACCTAAATGGGACCCTAATTTTGGGAACGACCATATAGGGTGCTACAAGGTTAGGTAGGCATACATGATGCGGGCGCGGCTGGCCCCCACTGCCCCCTCCCTTGCCCCCAATCCCATGGTAATGATTGGTGGTTTTCGTTTCGAAATATGGCGAGACTTCCCCTTCCCCCCTGTGTTGTGGTTGGGGGTTTGGGGTTAGAAGCAGTCCCCCCTTGCATGGCGGCTATCTTCTAGAACCTAAGTTAGGATTAAGCTGTTCCCGCCCGGGCTCCTGTGGCCTGTGGTCTGCGTCTTGTGGTTTGGATGAAGGTCAGTACACGGTTTACAGTGTTTGTAGAAGGCTTTGCAATCTATTACCCAACCCCCTGTGGTCCCGTGGGCTGTGGTCTGTGTCTTGTGTTTTACATGAGGTGTATTCAGTTCACGGAGGGTTTATGACAGTTCATAGAAGAATTATGAAGGTTTACAGAGAGTGCTGAGGGCCACCCGGATCCCTTCGACTGTTGAAAGTTTTGAGAAGCACGAGGGGCGAAAAGTGTTGGCGGTTACAAGGATGGCGGCTTTGAGGCATTAACAATGACGACAGTTACGAGGATGGCAACCCCGAGGGGCCCATCCCTGTGACTGTTGACACTCTTGCAGCACCGGGGCGCCGGGGGGGATACCAGGTGGGGGTCCTTGCGAACCGCGAACCGGGATCATATATATATATATATTATATACATATACATACTATGTGAGAGTTTCGGGTTTAGGGATGTTGCCTGCATAATGGAGAATCAGATGGAAAAGACAATGGAAAACAACATGGAAGCTGGGATTGCAGCTGCTGATAACGAGGCCAAACGCGCTTGATGGCAAGTTGCCTCGTGCACAGCAGAATGTTTTTGGAAATCTTTTGCCAGTCCGAGGAAACAGTCAGGGGACAGTTCTGACAGAGCCAGGACACAGTAGGGCACGGAATCTCATCATCACTCACCCCCATGGCCCTCCGCAAAAAATCCCTTTTCAGGCTGTGGAATGCAAGTGAAACTCTGCATGGCGATAAGCGGCAACAAAACGGGAATCGCATGACAGTGGATTGACAATTCCCTCCGACCTACTTCCAAAGAGTTTGGTCATAGTAGAGTATGTCATCTGGCCAAATAGGTGCAACATGACTCTGCTGGTATAGTTCATGCTGTCAATTCACATCGGGCTCGAATGTTCAAGTGCCAGTCCAAAGATTCATTGGCCAAAGTCTCTAGCAACGTATCTATTATGCACTGTTGGCCAGAGACATGCACCGCTGAAACACTATGTAGCGGTCGTTGGTTTTGCATGAGCATCATTCGGTTTCCATGAACGCATGCCTTCCACCCCTCTATGGATTCGATGGCCTTAGAAGCTGAAAGCGTATTGCACGGCGCACGAAAGGGTTTAGGGTTTAGGGTTTAGTGAAAATCCATAAGCTGTTTCCGGGGCTTCCACTGAGCTTGCAGCCTTGGTTTCAATGAAGCCTGCGTTTTCAATGTAACCTATAGCCGTACTCGCATTGCTTGCAAGACTTGTCCAAGCTTGCAAGTGTTTTTGAGGCATTCGGGCTTCCATCAAAATGGCAATCTGAAGTCCATGTTCCCAGCCTGACATGGTGTATAGCGGGCGTGTCTTGCAGGCCAGCACTTGGGAGATGCGAAGCCCCGGTGGCAATGCTCCCCACCAGCGGTACGCGCACGCGGCGGTGTGGAGCCCTGCCGGGGATGGCATGTATGTTTTTGGTGGGCGCGATGGCCGGGGCCCGAAGAACACATTTGGGTCGCCAAGACCGTAGGCTGCAATGAAGTATGAGGACAGCTCGCTGAGGTCAGTATGTCCTCCATGACTTGTGGTTTTACAGTCTTCAGGCCTGTGAGGGCTGCTGTGAGTCCATGGCAAGGGTTGTGGGTAGCAAGGTCATGCCTGTGTTTTAAATGCTCTTTCGGAATCCGAAAGTTTTTTAAAGGCTTCCATGGAGTAGGAAAGCCTTGTATTCCGCCTCGAGAAAAGGTCTTTGGCTGGTGAGGGGCGTGATTTTTGTCTTTCGCTATCAGCTGCTGTTTAGGCATCAATGACGTAGGATATGTTTGGTGTAGCTTGAATTCTGAATAGACATTGCCAAGCCGTGCCGTATCTGCGATGTTAGTTTGCGTTTTCCCTCCCAGCTAAGTGCAGGACATGTGGTTGCATTATTATTACTGCTTATGTATTTTTATTTGTATTTCGTATTACTGCAGCAGCAGCAGCAGCAGCAGCAGCAGCAGCAGGCGTAAGAAACATTACAAATCCAGAAATTTGTTTGGCAGGAAATGGGCGTGGCAGCGGGGGGTGTCAGCACTGTGAGATCACACGTCTCAGTCAACCAGTTGCCCAACCTCCTTCCCAGGCCCTGCTACTCTTCTTATTACAAGTGGCAGTACTAGGTATTTATATGCTAGCACGAAGAGGAGATCCGAAGCAGAGATTCCAAGAATTACGAGGTCAGAATTGCTCCAGCCCAGTGTCTCAGTGAAACAGTCTGGCAGACATGTGTTTCATGCGGGCTTCGCCACGCCTCTCCCTCCAAATGTGCCACGCAATGGGTGGTAATAGGCCCAGACCTGTATATCCCCAACCACATCCCCCCAACCCGACCGACCTTCATTGCCTTGTTTGCAAGATGTTGTCCAAGCCTGCACGCGATTATCTGTAGTTGCGGCTTGCGTGAGAACAGTTGTTTGTGGAAACTGTGCAGCAGTCGTATGTCGAAGGCCGATACTTGGGAGAAAGTGACTTCGAATGGCACATCACCAACTGGGCGGTGGTATCATGTCGCGGTGTGGAGCCCGTCGGCAAACGGACTCTACATTTTCGCTGGACAAGACGGAGGCCGGGGCCCTGAGAGGACAGTTGGGGCACTAAGACCACAGGCTGTAACGCAGCATGTAGAGAGCCCGATGAGGTGCCGTCTTGAACGACCTCTGGTTCTACGGACGTCAGGCATGTGAGGGAATCCGATGGTCTTTCAGAGGCTTCCACATAGCTTTCAGCCTATGTGTGCATGAGGCCTACACCTTCGGCGCCATCCACTTGTAGAATCTGTGTAGTACTATTCTTAGTATTGTTATTTTCTTACGATCAGTATAGATACCATTATTATCATTCTTGTGTCTCGCAGGCCAACACTTGGGAGGAGCCAGACCCCGCCGGCGATCTGCCCTTCGAGCGGTACGGGCACGCGGCGGTGTGGAGCCCTGCGGCGGATGGCATCTACGTTTTTGGTGGATATGGTCGAGGCCGCGGCCTTGCATCAAAGACCGCAAGCTGCAAGGAAGTAGGCGTGGAGTGCTCGCTGAGGTAGTCGGTTGAATGACTTGTGGTTCTACGCGCGTCAGGCCTGCGAGGGCTGCAGCGATGTGTGGAGTGAAGCGATTCACGCTACCAACATGCCCAAGCGTTACAAAACGGCTCTGAAGAGCGTGGGAAATGATTGAATGTCTGTGGGAGGCTGATGCCATCCGTGCACAGTCCACACAGTTTTTGTCCGTGCGTTTTTCATGCTGTTGGATCTTTGCTAGGCTTGTCTTTTTTAGGGTTCAGGGTTTATGTTTGATGTTTTCATCGTTTTTCTCCGTATTTTTGCATTCTACAAAAATGTGGGAGGATATGATCATGGAACATACCTAAAAACCTCAAAAGCTACATGTGCAGAAACGCGTCACGCAGAGGAACTGCAGCCCTTTTGGTGACAGAACTCGAGCTATGTCTTCCATCAAATTTTGCAAACTTGTTTTCACATTTTGTTCATGGCTGCAATCTAAAAAGCCTACACCCTAAACCCTAAACCCTACACACCCTAAACTTTCCGGGGTGACAAGCTACAGAGGGAACTCTCTTGGGGCCACATTTCTTGGTCCTCATCCATGAAAACCTTCAAAATTCCATGAACTGTATCCTCACGCAGAGACTTGTCCCGCAGGCAAATACATGGAGTGAGCTGTTCCCGGACGGCAATCCGCCCGGCACGCGGTACCTTCACACGGCAGTATGGAGCCCTGTGGCGGATGGCATCTATGTTTTTGGTGGATACGGTAATATTGGCCCGGGTCTCGAAACAACATCTTTGGCGCAGGCTGCAACGCAGCATGTGGAGTGCTTGCTGAGGTGGAAACGATGGGTTTGGGAATGACTTGTGGTTCTACGGGCGTCAGGCCCGTAATGGATGCTGCAAGATCATGTGCATTTGCAGTGGCGTCTGGACATGGATTGTTCCGGGCACTAGCCGTTTTGGTGAAGCTGTGCAAGAAAAGACGCTCAAACATCGTTGAATCAACTTTTCCGTTGCAGGACCAGACTGAAACAACATACCCAGACCGCAGACGGTGCAGACCTGGTCTATGAGTTAAGGTTTAGGGTTGGAATAACAGAGCTGTTTGCCGGATGTCAATGAATAGTACCGATCTATAGGTAGCACCAAATTATACTAGGTAATGTCCTCACGTCCCTTGTAATTTGCATGTGTGATCCTTTGTGTACGTTAGAAACACCAGCGTGGCTGAATATAGCCACCTAAAGAATATGGAGTATGTGGGGATCTTTTTACAATATGCCCAAAGCCGTTTTATATTTACTTAAGGGGGACTACAGTTGGTGAGGCTTGGCGAGTTGCGGGCTCCATGCGCTTGGCCTCTCCACGTTTGTGCCTGCTTGTACTCGTTTTCCGTGATTCCCAAATACCCTGTGTTTGGCGCGCTCCAAAAACGGGGTGGGTGGGCTAGGGCAGGCCCTACGCTACTGCCTTTTTTTGCTCACGTCTGTGACGTCAATGGATGCCATAGCCTTGGAAGATGACCTGGGAAAATTCTCTCTGAGGCGAAAGTACGCTTGGGTTCTTGTGGCCCTTTTCTATGGCCAGTCCATTCAATTTGGATCTCACCTACCTATGATTGTTACTACTCCTGTTATGATTACTGTTACTATTACTGTTACTATTGTAGAGAAGGCTGGAAGCTTGACCGCCTGGAACAGGGGGGGCCATCCAGCGTGGGTAAGAGTGGGACACACGGGAGTTTCTCAAAACAGTTTGTACGAAGTCCTTAACGAGTCCCCCACATAATCGCCTTACTATCCCAGTATATCTCTCAGGTCCCGAGAAGACGCCAAACCCCAAACCCCGAACCCCATTTTTCGTTTCCGTGCCTGTGGGTACTTCTGGGTCAATGGCTTAGGGGAGTTTGTTGGTAACTGACTGGCCGTGAGTGCTGGGTTATCAGGGACCCTGCTGCAAAGCGTCTTCATGACGCGTCGTGCTGTGGGGAAAATGGTCCGAGAAAAAGAACAATTTTTGAGAAAGCCCGGTTCAGGAGACGAGAGAGAGGGGATTCTCTTGGTCCCAGGATGTCACCTGCTTCATTCAAATTCCTGTATTATTATTATTATTATTGATATTCTTCATGTTCCTCATCATCCGGTTTTTCTACTTATCCGGTTGAAACTATTACTTACACGTTTCATGTAACTCGATATAACTTGTATTGTTAGTATTATTGCTACTATTTACTACATTTTTCTTGCCTCTCAGCATGTGGGATGCTGGTACGAGAACTAAATGTTGGTGCATCGTGGTCGAACTGCGATCCATTCATGTAGCTGCGAATGTCGTGTCCCCCTTTTTCGGAGGATCGGAGTGATAGAATGGTTTGTTGATGTCCAACAAAGCTGGGTGCCAGGCGTCCAGCACTACCAGAACTGTCAGTAGCACGACCACCACGTCAGCAACGACAACATCTTCCAGCAAGGCCTTCTTGCAAGTTCCATTTTCTTTTCCATTATCCCTGCATAACCCCAATATACTATAGTAGTTTCCATTTTATTTTCCATAATCCCAATATAACCAGAGTCTTCCTTTCTACTGGTGCCTGTCCTTCACTGCAACACTGTCATTGGCAGCTGGGAAGTGAATTTTACTTGTTTGCCCACTTCACACGACAGCAGCTACACAAGTAAGCTATGGTTAGTGGAAGGTGGCTGGTGATGCGAGTACAGCGGTTAATTCTCACATGTGTCTTTTACATTCTGAGGGTGGTGTCTAAGCAAGCCACCGCCTGTTGCAGACAACCACCACATCCACTGCAACCTCTACGACACAGACCTCGCAGACCTCGACGAGCGAGGCCTGAGTTGGTAAAGTTGAGGCTGCCGCACGCTTGAAAGTCTGAAGTGGCTCATGATGAAGACTGATATCCCTAGTGCTGCGGCACGTTGAGCGCAGCCCACCTCATTGCTTTGCCTCCTTGCTTTGCAGAAAGGCCTGGATGATCAGATGTTTGGATTAGGGCGGATATGCGTCAAACGACATGCAGTGGTCTTACGAGCTTTTCAAGGATCGCCCTTTGGCGCTGTCTTGCCATCTTTCTAGCACTGACCCGGTAGTATGGACGGAGATATGTGACAAGTTGGGTTGTAGCGGTTGATGTACAGATGCTTTTGGCCTTGAATATGCAACTCATGCTTGGCATTTGTTAGACGGTCACGACGTCGTCCACGTCATCGACCAGCAAGGCCTGATTGCAAGTTATCGGGATGACTGTTGCTGGCTGGCGAATGCGACCTGTTCAGAAGCGGGAAATAACGGGAAGCAGAAGCATCTCAACGTGCATTTTGCACCGAAGAAGCTGTAAGACTAAAGCGAGGATGCTCCGGTTGCTTGGCGGTCTGCAGCAGCGGATGTTGAGGAATGCTGGCTTTAAGGTTGGGTTTCA